GTAGTCTGGGTATGCGGTGTCAATTGCGAGGATGAATTGGTATACTGCTTGCTTGTCAGTGAGCTTGCAGTCTTGAATGTGAGTGAGCCTGGCTAAGCCAGCTTTGAACTTGTCGACGAATGTAGTCGTAGTATTGCACTCATGGGCGCGCAGTTTGAAGAAGTCAGCCCAGATGGAGCACTCCTCTGTCACGCCTTGATCCCTATATCGGGCAATGATAGTATTGAACTGGTCCGCGACATCTGTGAGGTCATTGACGCTCTCATAGATGGGTTGCGGTACCGTGGACAACAGCACGAGTTCAAGCGCAGCGCAGGCGGATTGCCAGCGTCGGTATTGTGCCCAGTCACGGCTGTACTGCTCTTTGATGAGTCGGTTGTGTTCGCGGACGCTGATCTGAGCAGCCCTGAGTTGCACTTCGTCTGTGTATACGCTGTTGATCGTGGATGGCTCCATTTGAGTTAGGCCTTTGATGACGGTGGGTTCTTCCCACGTGCCGTTGAGGAGGCCACTGTAGCCCTGTGACTTGGCATACAGTTGAAAGGCACGCTCCCAATGGAAATGATTAGTACCGTCCTGTCGCAGCTTTGGTACGATGCTGTCAGACAGTGACATGGTGTTGGTTGTATGGGGGGGAGGTGGAATGGATGGCGGGGTAGCTCCGTCTTTTGGTGGGGTAGTTGCTGAGTGCGGAAACGCCTCTCTCAACACCAGGAAGGCGCTGCGATAGTACCTGCGCTATTGACAAGGTGTACTACTGCACGGTCGCGATCGCGGTCGTTAAGAGAGGGCTCATAACCTGATGAGGGAGTATTTTGTGATAAGGGCGTTGTTGTATTGAAGCTATCAGAGCGGGGCAATATCTACAGTGCGCTAGTGCGGGAGCTAATCAAACGAGCTGACTAATGAGAGCACTGCCTGTGCGGACATATACGGTGTTTGGCACAGTATTTGTAGCTGCGTGTGCAGTGTCGTTCCGGAGGCTGTGGTCAGTGATTGTATTGCTATCTGTTGTTGTTTTGGTGATGTTCTTGTACAGGAGCTCTCCGCTCAGAGGCAAGTGCACTTGCCCACCGGGCAGTGCCTTCTACAATAAAATATCATGTGACCTAACCCATGTAGTTACAGTATTCGATGAAACCAATCGTCAGGTGACTGCCATGGCCGTCCATTATCAGTAGCCGCCACTCATTCAATGCCTTCTGTTTTGTATAGCGATTGAATACTTGTTCAAGCCAGGCAAGGCCAATGTTTTTATTTGACCAGCCTGTGGGCGTCACTATAGAGTATATTGAGTGCTTCTCTCGATCCAAAGTATCGACCCAGGTTGACTGAATGTTCCTGGAGTCGGCGGAGTATATGAGAGCTGGCGGCAATGAGGTAGCATCTGCGCAAATACAAGCCAGCACCGTTATCCACTCATGACTCCCATCGTGGAGTGACTGCCAACTCTGCTTTGCCTGGTATGCTGCCTTGTTGAACACTCTCTTGCTTCTGCCAACGACTCCAGCAAGGAAGCCTGTTACGATCCATGAACAACTCGCAATATCTGTTATACGAACCGAGATTGTACGAAAAGGACTGCAGTGGATACAACGTGGATCTCGTACACAAACGATCGTCACGGACCCATATACCGACCCACTTGCAGAGGACCCACGTCGACAACAATCAATAGGACACCGAGGACCAAGTATCAAGGTCATGTTGACAACGTTTGATTGGACCGAGTATCAAGTTACTGACGATACTCGATATGAGCAGTACAATCAATCCTCCTGTCAAGTATATAAGCAAGTAGACACGCTGCCCTTATGGCATCGTGTTCAACCTTGTCAATCAACTTTGTTATTGGAATCTCACCTGCTCTTGAGCCAGACAGTATACTCTGTACTACTCATTGCAACCAGTCGCCATGGTCTTTGACTA